CCACAACCTTTTGGTATATGGGACAATGCTCTAACCAACTAAGCTACCCGGCCAGGGCCATAAGCTATACCTTTAATAGAATTCTCAACCCTGGCAATTTGCTCCCCAGGGAACACTTGGTAATATCTAGAGACATTTTTGATTGTCATAATTTAAGGGAAAGTATGTTACCGGCATCTAAAGAAGCCAGGGATGCTGCTAAACATTCTATAGCATACAGTGACAGCCCTGACACACACACACACACACACACACACACACACACACACACACAAATTATTCAGCTCTAAAAACCAATACTGCTCCCTGGCCAGTTTGGCTCAGCGGTTAGAGCGTCGGCCTGCGGTCCTGAGAGACCCGGGTTCGGTTCCCGCTAAGGGCGCGTACCTCGGTTGCAGTTTGTCCCCGGCCCTGGTGGGTTGTGCGGGTGGCAGCCACTCGATGTGTTCCTTTAACATCGATGTTTCTCTCTCTCTGTTCCTCTCTCTCCCTCCCACTCTACCTGAACAAAGAATGGAAAAATGTCCTCAGGTGAGGATAAAAAATAAAATAAAATAAAAAAAAATAAAAACCAATACTGCCAAGGTTGAGAAACCCTGCTTCCTCCCAACCATCTTTCCTAGAAAGTATACAGATTAATGAAAAATACCAATTTACAATGATAAATGGAGCCTAAAACCCAATTCTGTTCTACATATAAAAATTATTTTTAGATGGTTTAATACACATTGGATTTCCTAGAATCATACAATGTATAATGTATATAGAATATAGTATGATTAACCTTTGTAAATCACAGGAAAATTGTACTTTGTATTTTTCAGATATTTACAAAGAATTCTTTATCACTTAAGAAAAATATTAATTATGGTATAAAAGTTGCCAATGCATCACACCGGATTAGTCCATATATAGCCACCACGTTGTGGACCAAAAGAATCCCCAAAAATGGTTTTATGGAAAGTAACTTTACAGAGTGATTTGATCACAAATTCCTAACTGGGCACGGTGGATAGTCATTAACTTCTTCAGTAAAAGGCTTATCTTTGTTTTAAGCAAGCCCTGTCCATTGTTTCTGTGTATCCCGGTTAACATACCTTTGAAAGGCCTCTTTTCAGATTCTGCCTTGTAAAGGGTGACCACCCTCAGAGAACACACAATCTTGTTAAATACCCTGTAATTCAACCCCTGGCTTGCTTTCTCCCACATTCATGTAATCTTCCTTAGTTCCAAATGCATAAAAGAAGCTGCAAACCTTCATTTCTTGGAAGCATTTTATCTCAGTCTATTGAGATCTTGCTTCCAGGTGTATCTTCTGTTTGGCTCCAATAAATTTTTATAAACTCTGGCCGGTTTGGCTTAGTGGAGAGAGGGTCGGTCTACGAACCGAAGGGTCTCGGGTAAGATTCCCGGTCAAGGGCATGTACCTGGGTTGTGGGTTCGCTCCCTGGCCCTGGCTGGGGTCAGGCAGGAGGCAACCAATCGATGTGTCTCTCTCACATTGATGTTGCTCTCTCTCTCTTCCTCCCTCCCTCCCTTCCACTCTATCTAAAAATCAATGGAAGAATATCCTCAGGTAAGGATTAACAAAAAAAAAATTCCCTACAGGTTGGACTTTTCTTACATCCTCAACCCCCTACATTTATCAAAATAAGTGAGGCATATAACAGATCAATAGCTATTTGTTGGAGCTGCTGGGTCAGTGAACACATAGAACATGAGGGGGAAAGGCATGTTCCAAGAGACCATGGAAGATCCTTGCCCGTTCCCACATACTCTGTCCAAGGCATCCCTTCCATCTGGCTGCTCCAGAGTTATATCCTTTTATAATAAATGGTAATCTAGTCTCCAAGAATGCTCACTCTTGGGAAACTCCCTCTCAGAAATCAGCCACCCTTCTGTGAGAAGCCCAAGTCTCATCAAGAGGCCCAACTAAGCTCTCAGCCAGCAGTCATCCATCAAATGCCTGACATAAGTCGAGTTGAGCCTTCAGCACCAGCTGCCATTTGACTGTAAACACAAATATTTAGAGATGGCAAGTAAGAATTGTTCTCAGTTGAGCCCAAACATGGGATGAAGACAGATATTAATAAGTTGTCGTTTTAAGCCACTAAATTTGGGGTGAATTGTTACACAGCAATGGAAAACTGGAATACCTTCTTATTCAGTCATTTGCAGTTTTTTTTAAATATCTTAACCACATGTGTATATCATTTAGAATTAATTATGTAAACAAATATTTGTTAAATAAATGGGCTCATGAATAAATAATAGATTGTAACAAAAATCCCAGAAAGTGTCAATTATGAAGTAAAAAAAGAACAAAGTTGATAAACTGATACCTATAAGTTTAAGAAAATTATTTAAAGCTATAAAGGGAACCACTTTTTATATACATATATATAAACTGCCCCCAAAATCACACAATTTCCAAGTAATGGGGAGAATATATCATACAATAAAAACAGTATATAAAATGACACTCAGAACTGATTCAGAAAGTTAAAACTAATCATATGCCATCTACAAAGGAAATATCTAAAACAAAAGAAGACAGGTATAGCCCTGGCCAGTTTGGCTCAGCAGTTAGAGCAACGGCCTTCGGTCCAGAGAGACCCGGGTTTGATTCCCGCTAAGTGCATGTACCTCAGTTGCAGTTTGTCCCCAGCCCTGGTTGGGTCGTGCAGGTGGCAACCACACGATGTGTCCCTTTCACGTCGATGTTTCTTTCTCTCTCTCTTTCTCCCTCCCACTCTATCTGAACAAAAAATGGAAAAATGTCCTCCTTGGGTGAGGGTAAAAGAATGAGCAAAAATATATCAAATTTTTAAAAAAGTACAGGGGTTATAGTAATATGAGACAAAGCTGGACTTCAAGTAAGTTATTATGACTAAGAGGGATACGTTATAATGATCATAGATACAATCCTTAAACTATGATTGTCAAGACCATTTATAAACCAAAAATTCTGCAAGAAAATATATGAAGCAGTAACGAAAATCCAAAACATAGGCATCATACATGCAGTAGAAGACAACAAACATATAGCTTAGTATCCAACTCTATAATTACAAGACAAAAGTAATCTCTCTGAAAGTACATATACCAATATTTTAACAATGATACACTGAGTAGTAATATTTCATGTAACTTTTGTTTTATTTTGTAATTTTTCTAAATTATGTTAAACTTACCATTTATTTTAAGTAGTTAAACAAAAAAAAAATACATGCTATAAAAAAGAAGAAACTTGAAATTTTTCATCAAATCCTGATAATTGTGATACTTTTCACAAAGCTGTAATAATTTTATATAAAATAATATTCTTTCGCCCTGGCCAGTTTGGCTCAGCAGTTAGAGCATTAGCCTGCGGACCAAAGGGTCACGAGTAAGGGCAGCCTGCTAAGGGCACGTACCTCGATTGCAGTTTGTCCCCGGCCCCGGTTGGAGTCATGTGGGTGGCGACCACTCAATGTGTCTCTCTCACATCGATGTTTCTATCTCTCTCCCACCCCCCACCTCACTCCCAGTCTATCTGAAGATAAATGCAAAAAAGTATCTTCAGGTGAGGATAAAATAATAATAATAATAAAAATAAAATAAAATATTCTTTCTAAAAATTGCTCGAGATTTCACAATGGTTTTAATAAATAGTGCTGATGTATTTGTCAGTGAAACAAAAAAACAGTGATCTGAGCCCATCCTTTGTTACTAAAAAGCTTACAAGTGTGGTGATTTAACACTAGATCATGAAGAGAATTCTTTTGTTCATCCCACTGCTTCAGAAAGACAAACCTCTAGATCCCATAAAAAAAAAAAAAAAAAAAGGAGTATCCTTCTTTGTCCAATTTGATAATCAAAAGAGCAAGTTAGCCCTGGCCAGTTTGGCTCAGTGGTTAGAGCGTCAGCCTGCGGTCCAGAGAGAACCGGGTTCAGTTCCCACTAAGGGCAAATGCCTGGGTTGCAGTTTGTCCCCGGCCCTGATTGGGTCGTGCAGAAGGCAGCCACTCGATGTGTCCCTTTCATGTTGATGTTTCTCTCTGTCTCTTCCTCTCTCTCCCTCCCACTCTATCTGAACAAAAAATAAAAAAATGTCCTCAGGTGAGGATAAAAAAAGAGCAAGTTACTTAAGAGCTTATCAGTCACCAACAAAAATTTGTGTTTTTTTTTCCCATCCTGCATCAAGCTTTCATGTCAAGATATGAATATTTGTAAAATAACAATCAATAAATAAACTCCTTTTTTTGGTATAGCTAAGCTGTAAGCATAAGGAATCATAAACTGCTATACCATGACTGCAAGTACTACAATTAACCTAAATTCTTTCAAATCACATATTTCAAACTACATTCAGAGAATCAATGTTAGGAGTTATTAGCTCTGTTCTAAGGGATGACAATGCTTTAAAAAAAAAAAAAAAAAGCCCTGGCTGGTTTGGCTCAGCAGTTAGAGCGTTGGCCAGCGGACCAGAGAGTACAGGGTTCGGTTCCCGCTGAGGGCATGTATCTTGGTTGCAGTTTGTCCCAAGTCCGGGTGGGGTCATGTGGGTGGCAGCCACTCGATGTGTCTCTCTCACGTCAATGTTTCTCTCTCTCTCTCTTCCTCCCTGTCTCCTTCCCCGCTCTATGTGAAGATAAACGCAAAAGTATCCTCAGGTGAAGATAAAAAAACAAAAAAAACGCAGTGCCTGGCTGGTGTGGCTCAGTGGATTAAGCATCTTCCCATGGACTGAGAGGTCCCTGGTTCGATTCCCAGTCAGGGCACATGCCCGGGTTGTGGGCTTGATCCCCAGTATGGGGCATGCAGGAGGCAGCCTACTAATGTTTCTCTATCACATCAATGTTTCTATCACTCTCCTTTACCCTCTCTCTAAAAACAATAAATAAAAATTTTTAAAAAGCAGTATTATCATACAATTTAAGTTGTGTTATATTATAAATTTTGTCACCCTAAATTTGTAACACATTTACAAACCAAAGGACTGATACAGAAAGGCTTACCTTCGTCTACAGAAAATTGACAGCTCTTATCATTGAAGAAAAGAATTTTCTTTTTATCAGGACGATTTACAAATAATATCTGGTCACCTAAAGCCTTAAAGATCAAGAAAATTTTTTTCAGTTAACTCCAAATTACTTCACCACCACCACTACCGAAATTTTTTTTTAAAAACAACAAAGGACTATAACCCTCAGTATTCCATCAGGGTCCACTAGACGCAATTTTAGTTCTTGAGTTTCTTTCTTGAGCAGTCCAGACTATCATTATTAAGGACTGATATTTCAAGACTTTATTCTTAGAGGTCTTCCAAAGTACAAAAAAAATGTACTTATTTTTTAAAACAGAATAAAATTTAATATGTGTGGCAATTAGGATTTGGGTCCATTGGATCCTTTTATTAATCTAAGAAAAATGGTAGATGTCCAGCCGGTGTGGCTCAGTGGCTGAGTGTCGACCCATGCATGAAGAGGTCACCAGTTAGATTCCCCGTCAGGGCACATGCCCAGGTTGTGGGCCCGATGCCCAGCGGGGGGGGGCATGCAGGAGGCGGCCTATTGATGTTCTCTCTCATCGATGTTTCTCTCTCTCTCTCCCTCTCCCTTCCTCTCTCTCCCTCCCACTCTACCTGAACAAAAAATGGAAAAATGTCCTCGGGTGAGGATAAAAAAATAAATAAAAAATAAAACCAATATGACATTATTAATTCAAATTATATATTAAGGCATAAAAAGAAAAGAGAGGTTACCTTGACAGCTTTCTGGGAATTGGGCAGTCCTTCCTCTATGTCTTCTAAAAGAATTCCTCCTAAGCCTCGCTGGTCATGCTTATCTAAGAGCCTAAGCAGGGCCTTCTTATCTTTTAAGTTGTACTTGGGCTTGAAGGCATATTTCCCATCTATTACTTCAATTTTGGGATTATTGACTAATGCCTGTAACAGTGACACAATTGGGATATATTAATAAAAGGAAACCTTATATATACATTCTTTAATTCTACCAATTATTTTAAAAATACAACACCCATACAATGGCAAATTAAAAGTATCTTGCGAATATCAACAAGCAGATCTAAAATACTGGACATCCAGGATCCAAAACAATATATTATAGAGATCAGATGGTGCTCACTTTGTATAAAAGAAACACTTTATTATTTACGTAAATTCTTTCGATAAGAAATAAACCATTTTATCACAACTGCTTTTTTTTGTGTGGTACGTGCCTCTAGCAGAACCGAACCCAAGACTCTCTGGTCCACAGGCCGACGCTCAACCGCTGAGCCAAACTGGCCAGGGCATCACAGCTGCTTTGAAGAAAACCGTACCCATAGTCTTTTGAAAAACCAAGGAGTTAAGAATCAATAAAACAACTATTAACATTAACAGACAAAGTGAACTAGGTATTGCCTATTCCACCTTCAAAAAGTATGGTTTATTGCATATTGACATTATGATGTGAGGAACACTGCCCTGGGGTGAACATATCAATAGTCAGTCTGCCCCACTTGGTATCAAATGGCATTAGCAAATGTGGAAGTAACTGAAAAGGACCAAACTAGTGCATATAAGAAATTTACTGCCTTGGCCAGTTTGGCTTAGTAGTCAGAGCTTCGACCTGTGGACCAGAGAGTCCTGGGTTCAGTTGCCGCTAAGGGCACGTACCTCGGTTACAGTTTGTCCCCACCCCAGTTGGGGTTGTGTGGGTGGCAAGCACTCGATGTCTCTCTCTCACATCCATGTTTCTCTCTTTCTCTCTCTTCCTCCCTCTCTCCCTCCTGCTCTATCTGAAGATAAATGTAAAAATGTCCTCGGATGAGGATTAAAAAAAATTTTTTTAATGTGGATTACCAGTATTTGTATATCACTAATACAATGAGCTACAATGATAGTGATTAAGTGGTTCATTTATATTACGAAAATCAAGAACAATATTTTGCTAGGTAAAATAAATTAATTGAATTATATTTTAAGTCTTTTACATTTGGTCTTTAGAATATAGCACTGGTCCTAGAAAACAGTCTTCTTGCCCTGGCCGGATTGGCTTTGCAGTTAAAGCGTCAGCCCGCGGACCAGAGAGTCCCAGGTTCGGCTCCTGCTAAGGGCGCGTACCTCAGTTGCAATTTGTCCCCGGCCCCGGTTGGGGTTGTGTGGGTGGCAACCACTCGATGTGTCTCTCACATCAATGTTTCTCTCTATCTCTTCTTCCTTCTCTCCTTCCTGCTCTATCTGAAGATTAATGCAAAAGTGTCCTCGAGGAAGAATAAAAAACAAAAAAGAAAGAAAACAATCTTGTCATTTCATAGTTAGAAAAGCAGCAAATATCTGAATTTTTTAAATGCTATTTGTTTCCAAATTAGCACAGTCACTGGTTTGGGGTTCCTTTTCTTCCACGGTTGTGTGCACACACACAATGTTCATGATTACTCTTCCAAGTTACCTGCTAGAGCCAGTAGCATCAAGTCATATTAGCGGTAATAGTATAACAAATATCTCACTTAATAAAATATCTTTCTATCACTACAGTACCTCATGATTTCAATGTCCTAAAACATACAAAAAAACAGTACAATTTGCCAACACATACATTATAAATTCAGCAATTCAAAATAAGCAACAATTCTGTAAAAACTTAAATGGAATCAATACAAAGGCTGACTTTTTTATAACTTTTATGCTCAAGTCTTTGACATTTTTAAAGATATCTAAAATTATATGAAAACCAAATCAAATAATCTTAGAATATGTATGAACAAAAATAAAGACCCTATACCAATTCTTTCATGAAAAGGTAAAAACAATGATCAGTTTTAGTATACTAAAAACCCGTTACATCAAATATATCATAATAATCAACTAATTTTTTTTTTTTACAATATTTTAAGCCTATTCTTACCTCAGTCATTAGCCACTGTTTCTGCTTGAGTCCAATATCTAAATGTTGTGTTTCATCCAAAATTTCTTCTAAAGTTAGAGGATGTGTATCTCCTCGCTGATGACGTGTCTATTGGGGAGGAAGGTACTACTATTAGAAGACAGTTTTAAAATGCTAGATATATTAAATAATAGTTACAAGTAAATAAATTGTTTCAGCAATGTAGAACATGTATTATTTGAAGCAGGACAATTATAGTAATGAAGAGAATGGACTTCAAAATCAGAGAGAACTAGGTTCAAACTCAGAGTTCTATACAATCAAATGTTAATCTGAGAGAAAATATTTGCAACAAACGTCACAAGCAACTAATCTTCCAAATATTTTAAGAGCTCCAAAAACCTAACAGGAAAATGCCCCAAAGATAGGAACACATAAGTCACAGAAAAAGAAATGCAAATGACTTTTTAAAGATTTTTTTTTTACCTATTACACTGGCAAAAATCCACATGATTTCTAATTTTGTGCAAATTTATAACATACACAATGTATCAGTATAATATAATGCATGTATAAAGAGTAAGCTGGCTGCAGCTGGTTTGGCTCAGTGGTTGTAGCGTCGGCCTGTGAACCAGAGAGTCCCGAGTTCGGTTCCCACTAGGGGCACATACCAAAAAAGAAAGAGTAAGCTAAAAAATTTAAACAGCCAAGTTCCTGAGGCTCTGTTTATATATTTTTAATCAAAAACTTGTTAAGATCACTACAATATTTTGCATTGTTATTCTGCTTATTTTGGATATATGAACCTGGAAGTACATAGTCTAAATGAGAAAAAATAAAGAAATTTAGGGTAATTTTACTTGTCTAAGGACAGCCAAATCAAGTCTTTCAAAATCATTATTCCATATTCTCTATTATCAATGATTTTCAAATCTAATATATTTTCTTCACATTAAAATCTTTTTCCTAGAGCCCTGGACGGTTTGGCTCAGCAGTTAGAGCATTGGTCTGTGGACCAGAGTCCTAGGTTCAGTTCCTGCTAAGGGCACATACCTCGGTTGCAGTTTGTCTCTGGTTGGGGTCATGCAGGTGGCAACCACTTAATGTGTCTCTCTCACATCAATGTTTCTCTCTCTCTCTCTTCGTCCCTCTCTCCCTCCCACTCTATCTGAAGATAAACGCAAGAATGTCCTCGGGTGAGGATAAAAAAAAAAAATTTTTCCTAGAATGAAGTCAGCATTATGGAAGAGTGAGACAATCCCTTAGTATCTCCCCTTAAATCTACAACTAGTTGAACATCTATAACCCAATAAAGCTTCCTCTGCTCAACACACTAAGACACGCCCAAAAGACCAATACACTGGTACATCTAATGGTGGGCAAATTGAAATACGGAGGGAAGGCAGGACAGGCAGAAGGACAAGGACAGTGCCCAAAGCCATGGCTCCCTGGTCTCCATGGCTGAGCTGGTAGCCCTAGCAAACACAGTAGTGGTGGTGGAGTCAGGGTACAGCCCCCTCAGGTCCTTCCCTCAGCTGCAATGGTGCTCACGTCACAAGAGCCAGATAGCAGCAGCAGAACGCATCTATAGCCTCCCAACCACAGCACAATGGTGTCAGTGGCCATAAGGAACCAGGTAGCAGAATGGTGGATTCACAAACCTGCTCCCCTAAACTGCCACATCCCCCACCACCAAAGTGGTGGTATCCTGAGACCCAGGCAACTCATATAGTGTGGTGGCACCCACCACCCCAGTCACCCAGGCAGAAATTCCCATGACTAGAGATGTCCCCCCACCACGACCCTACAGGCACAAGTAGAGCAGCTAAGAGAAAACAAAATCTTGCACTATAGCACTATCTAATGGAAAACAAAAGAAAGACCTCCAATTATCAATATGCTGAATTTTTAAAATCAAAACAGTACCTAAATAAGAAAAGAGTTCACTACTTCAAATGTACTTCAAAAGGTGTTCATCAAACATCATGAACAACTAAGGCAACATGGTAACACCAAAAAAAAAAAGACAATTCACCAGAAACCTAACTCAAAGTCATGGAAGACCATGACCTAAATGATAGAGAAGAATTCAAAATAGCAGTCACGAAGAAACTAAACAAGATACGAGAAAACTCAAAAAGGCAATTCAATGAACTTTGGAATAAAATTAATGAACAGGAGCATTTTGCTAAAGAAACTAAAACTATAAAAAAAGAACAAAACAAATTCTGAAGGTAAGGAGCTCAATAAATGATATAAAGAATACATTAAGAAGCAATGTAAATATGCCCTGGCCGGTTTGGCTCAGCAGTTAGAGAGACAGCCTGCGGACCAGAGAGTCCCAGGTTCGGTTCCTGCTAAGGGAACATACCTCAGTTGCAGTTTGTCCCCACCCTGGTTGGGGTCATATGGGTGGCAACCACTCAATGTGTCTCTCTCACATTGATGTTTCTCTCTCTCTCTTCCCCCTCTCCCTCCCGCTCTATCTGAAGATAAATGCAAAAATGTCCTCAGGTAAGAATTAAATAATAAATAAAATTAATTAATTATTTTTAAAAAGCAATGGAAATAGAGCAGATCAGAGGGGAGATAATTAGCAAGCTCAAAAACAGAAATATAGAAATAATTCAGGTGGAAGGAGAGAGAGAATATCTTTTAAAAGTGAAAGAATTCTATAAGAACTACCTGCCTCCATTATAAAGGACAACATAAAAATAACGGGTATCCCAGAAGTAGTAGAAAGAAGAAAACAGACAGCCTATTCTTTTTTAAATTTTTTTTCTTTATTGATTAGTGAGAGAGGAAGAGAGAGAGAGACAGAAACATCAATGAGAGAGAACGTCGATTGGCCACCTCCTGCATGACTTCCACTGGGGATTTGGCCCATAACCTGGGCATGTGCCCTGACCAGGAAACAAATTGGCAACCTCTTGGCGCATGGGTTGACGCTCAACCACTGAGCAACACTAGCCGGGGCCAGACAGCCTATTTAAAAAAACTAATTGATAAGAACTCCCCAAACCTGAAGAAGGAGCTGGATATACAAGCACAAGAAGCTCAGAGTGGTGCAGCCACTATGGAAAACAATATGGTGTTACCTCAAAAAATTAAAAATTGAATTGCCATTTGACCCAGTGATCCCACTTCTAGGAATATACCCTAAGAAGCCTGGAACACCAATCAGAAAGAATATATGTACCCCCATGTTCATAGCAGCACTATTTACAATAGCTAAGATCTGGAAACAGCCCAAGTGTCCATCAGTAGACAAATGGATAAAAAAGCTGTATTACAGCCCTGGCCGGTTTGGCTCAGCGGTTGGAGCATCAGCCTGTGGTCCAGAGAGACCCGGGTTCAGTTCCCGCTAAGGGCACGTGGCTCGGTTGTGGTTTGTCCCCGGCCCTGGTGGGGTCGTGCGGGTGGCAGCCACTCAATGTGTCCCTTTCACGTCGATGTTTCTCTCTCTCTTACTCTCTCTCCCTCCCACTCTGTCTGGAAAAAAAAAATGGAAAGGTGTCCTTGGGTGAGGATAAAAAATAAAAAAACTTTTAAAAAAGCTGTAGTACATACACACAATGGAGTACTGGGCAGCTGTAAGAAAGAAAGATCTCTTAGCCTTTGAGACGACATGGAGAGACCTGGAAAGTATTATCCTAAAAAAAACAAGCCAAGCAGAAAAAGACAAATACGACATGATCTCACATATTTGTGGAATATAATGAACATAACAGTCTGAGGAATAGGGTAGACCCAGAGATGTGGAAGTAGGGTACAGACTGACAACCCTCAGAAGAGAGGGTGGAAGGGGGAGGGAAGAGAAAAACCACAGAACTTATATGCATGGATGCATAACCAATGGTCAAGGACAACAAAGCTGGGGGCGGGGTGGAGGGAGGAGGGAAGGAGGGTGTCAATGGGGAAAAAAAGGAGAAACATCTATAACAAAAATAAAATAATAAATTAATAAATAAATAAAAAGGCACAAGAAGCTAACAGAAAACCTAATCATCTCAACACAAAAAAACCTTCTCCAAGACACAATATATTAAGACTGTCGCCCAGCTGATGTGGCTCAGTGGTTGGTTGAGCATCGACCCATGCACCAAGAGGTTCAATTCCTGGTCAGGGCATATGACCAGGTTGTGGGCCAAATCCCCTGTGGGGGGCATGCAGGAAGCGGCCAACTGATGTTCTCTCTCATTGATGTTTCTATCTCTCTCTCCCTCTCCTTTCCTCTCTATAATCAATAAAGAAAAAAAAATTTTTTTAAAAGACTGTCAGAAGTGAATAACAAAGAATTCTCAAGGCAGACAGGGAAAAAAGATTGTAACCCACAAAGGAAACCCCATCAGCTTATAATCAAATTTCTCAGCACAAACTTGAGACCAGGAGAGAGCAGAATGATATATTCAAAATATATCGTTAAGTCTTCACATTTTAAATGTCTCCATTTAATTATTATTATTCCCTGTGGTTTTATTACCATTTCTTTTATAAACACTTTGATAGTCTAGTGTGACTTTTGCAGATAAGAGTTGAGATACAAAGGTGGGCAAAAGTAGGTTTACAGTTGCGAGTAACATTCTTTTGAGATAATGGTTACTATAATAATCATAACCTGCATGTCTTTTTCATATGAACTGTAAACCTACCTCAACCACTGTAGAAAAGGATTCTAAGCCTAGGCCCATGAACAAGTCTAACAAGGTTAGTAATAAAGAGCAATAATCTTCTGAAACATGTCACGACTGCAACAAAAGATTTTATTTTAAAGTCTACCACCACAACAAAGCTACTAATCAATCGGTTTTACATGGATGAGTAATGCAAGATGTCCTATTCTGCTGTACATCATCTGTGGCAAACAATGTATAATGGCTCCAGTAAAATTGAGAAGACACTTAAATATAAATCACAAGCATTGGACAAGTCAAGGTACTTACTATTTTAAGCAGCTATTGGGATCTCAAATCAAATAGAGTTTTTTTTTTTTTTTAAGTCACATTCAGTGAAAGGCTCAGGAAGCAAGTTATTAGTTGTAGAACTTACTATTCAGAAAAGGAGTAGTAGTGGGAAGGGGGGAAATAACACAGTTGGTAGAAAACTAATAATGCCAACATGTCAAATGA